GAGCTTGATTTTGGTTTGATGGTGCATTCTCTGCCACACCGGGCAGAATGACTCTACTCAAACATAGCTCAAGCTCCTTTGCATCTCAGCAGAGCAGCCTCTGGTCATAGCCTTTGCTGTTTTCTTCCAGCCACCACACAGCCATTCCACCTCCTGTTAACAGCCCCATGATTTTGCTATAGAAGAACAGCTCTTGTCCCACTGTGTGCTACACTCTGATATGCTCTTCTTCCCTAGCTCTGGGCAAACCACACAACCAAAGTCAAACCAATCAGAAACTCTGTCCTTGGAATATGAATCCTGGGAAAAATGACAAAGGCAATAAATAAATTAAGCTGATTTATCTCAGTGGAGGCCTGAAAATGCAACCTTCCTAGTGCCTGCTACATAGATTCCTGGAGTTAGCTTGGTTTTTGTTCTTCTTCCTGGCCCAGTTGTTCAGCTTTTCTTTTACCTCCAAGAGCAACCTTGTATCTTTACAATAAACTTGAATGGAAATTCAAGCCAGGCAGTTTCTGTTCTTGTTATTAAAAAACCCTAATATATTTCCATGTGGTACTCACTGTTCCTGTCATGCCTTTCAAACCCATCCTAATACAGCTGCTGGACAGTTTCTTAGAACAAAGGCTTGATCGTTCACCCAACATACACATTCAATATTTCTATTATTAATTCAACTTATTTACTGAATTCCTATTTTGTGCAAGCCATGGTTAGATTTATTTGAAATACAGGGGTGCACCAAACAGACAAGACCTCCACTTTCCAGTGAGGTAAATCAGATGCTAACTAAGGAAACGAAAAAAAAGATAACCTCAGATTGAGCTAAGTGTTAATAGTGGAAATAAATAAGGTGCTATCGCTGGATTCAGTGCCTAGAAAGGATGGTCAGAAAATACCCTGATGGAATATTTCAGCTGAGACCTAAGATCTGAATGAAGAGTCAGGTTTGATCTTGTTTAAAAATAAAATAAAAACAATTGTTCTCCATAAGGCTAAAATTGTAATAACAATGACTACAGGGCTCTATAAAATCTGGTTTCAAATGACTTTTAAAATTTTCTTAGCTGGGCACAGTGGCTCATGCCTGTAATCCCACCACCTTGAGAGGCCAAGGCGGGCAGGTCACCTGAGGTCAGGAGTTCGAGACCAGCCTGGCCAACATGGTGAAACCCCCTATTAAAAATACAGAAATTAGCTGGGAATGGTGGCAGGTACCTGTAACCCCAGCTACTCAGAAGGCAGAGGCAGGAGAATCACTTGAATCTGGGAGGTGGAAGCTGCAGTGAGCCGAGACTGCACCACTGCACTCCAGCTTGGTGACAAGAGCGAGACTCCGTCTCAAAAACAAAACAACAAAACTTTATTTCCCTTAGTTATTCCCTTATGATACTTTCCTGCTCCAGATACTTTATCTCTGAGACCTAACCTACACATCTGACTTCTTCCATTCCCCAATCTGGAAAGTCCTAGAACTCACCTACCCCACTCCTCAGCACACTATTCAGAACATTAATCACCTTTCAAGGCTCAAGTGGAGTTCCAGCTCCTCTATAGAATCTTCCATTATGGGCAGAATTGTGTCCCCATTCCCTCCCAAATTTACATGATAAAGATGTAACCTCCAGTACCTCAGAATGTAATCGTACTTGGAGACAAGGCCTCCAAAAGGTAATTAAGTTAATATGAGGGCTTTAGGGTGACCCTAAACCGATATAACTGGTATTCTTACAGGAGAGGAAGATTAGCATGAAGACATGCACAGAGGAAGGACCGAGTAGGGAAAAGAAAGCCAAAGAGAAGTCTCAGAAGAAACCAACTCTGCTGGTGGCCCTAATGGTGGCCTCCTAGCTTCTAGACTGTGAGAAATCATCTGGTCTGCAGTACTTTGTTACAGCAGCTCAAGCAAACTAATATACCTTCCCTGACGACTTCAGCTGATAATGTGCAAATTCCTCCTTTCAACCTCAGCCCCATTCACGTGGTGTTTATTACTGCCTTTACTGTTAGTCACCTGTGTCTCCCCAAGAGGGCTGGAAGCTATTTAAAGACTGATCATCTATTTAATATCTCTTGGCATTCTTATCAATGTTCAACATGTTATCTTCCACAACAACAAATATTTGATTTTTCTGTACTCTTCACTCCAATTAAATGCCGGAGTGAAAATTATGCCTGTTAGTTGTTTTGCTAAAGCTGATTACATCACTGCCCTGCTTTAGGGTACTGTACTCATTTCTCTGTTCCTAAAGAAAATCCACTGTCGAGCTGCATACAGGACTTTTCATACTGTGGTTACAACTCATCTCTCCACCCTTATGGGGTACTCCTTACCATCTACTCTACAGACTTGCATGTCCAGTTTCTGCCACCCAAATATCTTTCTTCCCTCTCCTTTACTTGGATAACTTCTACAGAAAGATCCAGCTGAAACGTCACCAACTCTACAAAGCTCTTATAATTTGTCCCAGCCAGCAGCTCAGTCAACTAAACTACACAATACTTCATCTCTCTGTAGTAACACCGTAACTGCTTCGATTAATCTGCTTTTACATGTGTCTCCCTCAGGGGACTCCCTAAAGGAAGAACCTGTTTATATGCATGTATCCCTGATGCCCAGCACAAGGCCTGGCAAGCTGGGTATTGGGCAGAGAGAGAGAAATCATCAAACTTGAGGCGAGATTCAAGACCTGGACTGGCTCACCTTTATTTCTCCGGCATCTGTTACAGAGCCCCAGCATGTGGCAGTATTCTTCACTTTTTCTGAGACCTTGTGACTTCAATCACTACTGGACGATGACCCCCAAATCTGTACCTCTGCTTAGACTCTTGCAGCTCTAGCCTCTCAGGCATCTACTGGACGATTCCATGACAGTATATCCTCTGGTCCAGCGTGGTACTAACCCTCCACTCGTACCCACTGCCACATCTGCTTGTCCTCACACACTCCTGATTTACTCTGGCGTGTTGCCAGCCCCTAAAGCTCCAAAACCAGAAATCTCCTCTCTTTCCTTCATAGCCTATCACTGGGACCTGGCTCTTAAATAGCTTATCATCTGCTCTTCCTACTTACTTCCATTGCCTTTGGGGACAACTAAAATTGTCCCTTCAATTATCTTGTTTCTATCGAGAGACTTTAATAACTCAAACCCTATTTTGTTATTTACAATTTTTCCTTACCAGTGTACACATCTGATATTGCTCCTATATAACAGTGTAACTTCCTTGAGGGCAGGGGTTATATCTTCTTCAAGTTCTATTTGCACAAAATGAAGCACATTATATTTTCAATAGTGTTAAAAAGGAAAAATTAAAAGATGCTTTTAAGTAAACCAACAATTCAAATTTCGACTTAACATCAAAATTTAGAGGTGCTTAAATTTAAACGTAATGACTGCTAGTCCTTAGAGATGGATGATTTGCTCCTTCAGGCACAAGAGGAACACTTTAAAAAATAATTTTCCGGGCCGGGCGCAGTGGCTCATGCCTGTAATCCCAGCACTTTGGGAGGCCGAGGCGGGTGGATCACGAGGTCAAGAGATCGAGACCATCCCGGTCAACATGGTGAAACCCCATCTCTACTAAAAATACAAAAATTAACTGGGCATGGTGGCGCGTGCCTGTAATCCCAGCTACTCGGGAGGCTGAGGCAGGAGAATTGCCTGAACCCAGGAGGCGGAGGTTGCGGTGAGCCGAGATCGCGCCATTGCACTCCAGCCTGGGTAACAAGAGCGAAACTCCGTCTCAAAGGAAAAAATAATAATAATAATAATAATAAATTTCCCTAAGAAACCTTTCCAAAATGGATTAACCCACTTTCTTGTCTTCTTCAACGAGGAATGCGGACCATAAGGTAAGCTGCTTAACCGCGGCCTCGGGGTCATCATGTGCACAATCGCGGACTGTGCTGTAACACACGCGTGTCCTCGGAGTCGGTGCCGGAGCTGGGAGCGCTTGCACGGAAGGAAAGTCTCAGTTTCCCTCTTCTCCGTCAGGCAATCCCTGTCTAAGCACCCCGCGCCCTCTTGCTGAATTCTCCCAAACCGCAGAGCCCTCCAGGCAGGAAGCGCACAGACCGGGGGGCCTCTGAGCACGGACTACGGGGCGTGTTCCCCCAAAGCCAGGAGGACGTGGCGGGGCTGCCGCGGGGGTCTCTAAGGCCCGCGCGGGCTGCGACTCGACTCCTGCCCGTCCAGCCGCAGACCCCAGACAGGGGAAGGGGCTTCTGAAGCGGGAGACGGTCGCCGGCCGAGCAGCAGAGCCCCGGGCCAGTGGAGGGGACTGTGCTCCGCGGGACGGCCGGGAGGTCCCAGGCGAGGTCTGCTGGGGCTCTGGAGGGAAGGAGCGCGCCGCGGGGTCCAGGCGTCCCCGGGAGGGGCCAGGCAGGGAGGTGGGCCGGCGGCGCGGAGGGAGCGACCGGCGGGCGACGAGGGGCACGCTCCGGCCACCGGGCCGAGGACTGGGCGACGGGGCTGCGGCCCGGACCGTGAAGGGAGCGGCGGCGTCGGGGCAGGTGCGGGATCCCTAAGGCCGCCGGCCAGCTTCCGCGCGCACCTCGCGGCCCGCGCCGCAGGCCCTCAACACCCGCACGGAACCGGAGAACGCGCCCTTCTCTACGAGGCATTTCAACCGCTCCGCGCGAGGGGCGCGTGCCCAGGCCCGGCGTGTCCGCTACCCCAGGGGCGGCTCAGCCCGGGCGAGGAGTAAAGCCAGTGAGAATGGACCATGCGCAATCGCGAGGGCGAGGCCAAGTGCGGGCAGGGAGCATGCGCAGTGTGAAGGCACAATCGGCTACGTGGGAACCTGGGGCATGCTCGGTGAGGGCCCAAGGCCCCGCGCACGCGCAGAAGCGCTCGGAGCCCGCAACCCGCTGGTGGAGAAAAAAGAGGAGAGAAATCACCTCAGAGTTACGTCAGGAAAGGCCGCGTTTTGCGGGGAGGCTGTAGCCTCCCAGGGGGCCCCGCAGTTCTCCTAGAGCGAGGGGCGTGACAGTTACTCACCGGTCTCCAGCCTCGAGGCAGACGCCGGTCCCCTTTCCGCTCACACTCGGCTCGCGCGCGCCGCAGCCGCCGCTGCCGCTGTGATTCCATCCATCTTGAATTTGACGTCATCCCACACCAGGGATGAGGTCATCGCAGGCAGCGCTCGTCACGTGCGCGGCGCTCTGATTGGGCGCCGGGCGCCGGGGGGCGGGGCGAGGGAGGCGCGTGGCGCTGGAGGCCGGGGGAGGGTGGGCCTGCCGGGAGCCGTGCACCGAGCGGCCGCCACCGAGCTCGGCCCGCGCCCTCGGTCCTTGGGGAGCCCGCCCGGCTGGAAGCCCGGCCAGGCGAAGTCCGTCCAGGCGAGGAGCGCGTCGGTCCTCAGGGGATTTTGTCGCCTGCCGGAGGCGCCGTTGCTGAGGGGTCGCCCCGGGTCATTCCGCCGCGGTCCTGCCCGGCGTGGCCGCCCTTGCTCCAGGCTTCCGGCGCGGCGGGATGCGTGGTGCGGCCGCTCAGTCCCTCGGTGGGGAGGACGCGCTCCAGGCCGACGGCGGGCGACGCCCCAAGCCGACGACCCCGACAGACTGCCTGAGCTACGCGCGGCTTCCCGACGGGCGCGGGCGGCGAGCGGGGCCCTGCGGTCCTCGGGTCGGCGGCGGACGCTTGCAGCCAGCCAGGGAAGCGCGTGGGGGGCGGCGCCGGCCCAGAGTCGCTCAGCGCGCCTCCATTTCCTCCTCCCGACGCCACCTGGCCCCTGGGCGGGGAACCCCTCCCTGCTGGGGGCCGGGCGGCGGCGGCCGGGGCGTCTGGGCTCGTTCCTCGCGCAGATGGAGGTCGGTCCGAGGGTGACTCCTTTGGCCCGGCCTTGACCCCCGGTGGGCGTTCGCGGCGGCCCGCAGGCAGCCGGAGACTTTCCATGACGCGCCGCTCGTCGTCTCGGGGGGCCGTGGTCTTTTTCCTGCATAAATGTTACAACTCCGTTGATGAGAAAACTCGCTTCGCTTTCAGTCAAAACCAGAAATTAGATAACAGAAATGCGACACTGTCGGCACCGACGGGGGTGGAAGCCGCGCGGGCGGAGACGGCTGAACAGAGCCTCCCTCCGCACGTTCTCCCAGCCCGGGCGGCAGGTGCAGGGGGAGTGCCTCCCGCAGACTCTCCCACGCCGGGGTGTGACCCCTGTTAATCACTGTCAAGGATCTGCTCATTTCCAAATACAATCTTTGAAAGTTGGATGTATGCTCTAGGTAAAATTTATGAAATGTTTGGGAAGTATGTGAAAGAGCATTAGATTGACACAAATTAAAACGTGTTCCCGAGTTGACAGCTCTGTTGTCGATTGTTCTAGTTTGACTAATTTTAAGAGGACTCTTAGCCTTACATAAAGAATATTGCCGGTGGCTCACGCCTATAATCCCAGCACTTTGGGAGGCCGAGGCGGGTGGATCACAAGGTCAAGAGATCGAGACCATCCTGGTCAACATGGGGAAACTCCGTCTCTACTAAAAATACAAAAAAAATTAGCTGGGCATGGTGGCGCGTGCCTGTAATTCCAGCTACTCGGGAGGCTGAGTCAGGAGAATTGCCTGAACTCAGGAGGCGGAGGTTGTGTTGAGCCGAGATCCCGCCATTGCACTCCAGCCTGGGTAACAACAAAAGCGAAACTGCATCTCAAAAAAAAAAAAAAAGAATCTTGCACCTAAAAATTTTCTCCTACAACTTTAAAAAAACTTTAATTTTTTTTTTTTGAGACGGAGTCTCTGTCACCCTGAGGCTGGAGTGCATTGGCGCGATCTCAGCTCACTGCAGCCTCCGCTCCCTGGATCAAGCCGTCCTCTCGCCTCCGGAGTAGCTGGGACTGCAGGTGCACCCCACCACACCTGGCTAATTTTTTTATTTTTGGTAGAGATGCGGTTTCACCATGTTGCTCAGGCTGGTCTCAAACTCCTGGTCTAAAGCAGTCCACCCGCCTCAGCCTCCCAAAGTGCTGGGATTATAGGCATGAGCCAGCGTGCCCAGGCTAAAGTATCTTTATATTTTGAACTGTGTGGTGGAAAAGCACGAAGTTCCTTTGTTCTTAAGGTAGAAGGCAGCAGTGATTGAGTCTTTAAAGAACCTGGAGTTCTGAGATCCCCTGTGATTAGGGTGGGGGAGCACGTGCTGCTACCCTTGTTTTGCAGGTGGGAAAACTAGTACCTCGCTGTGGAGCCAGAGCCAGAGCTGGAAGCCAGGTTTTCTAGTTCTCGCTGTACTACATGCTGGAAGGAGCCTCCCTTGAACGACCCCTTTCAGGCCACCTGCTTACCTGTCCCCCCGCCCCATCTTCCTCAGGACGATACACATTGGGGTGTCTGCTCTGACCTGTACGATCAGGCCTTTGGCCTCACCATTTCACTGGAACCGACCTAACTGCCAGGTCCAGCAGAAACCACGGCATCCTCCGTTGCCCTCTTAGATTTGTGGCACGATAGCAATTCCTTTAATCCTGATTGCTTCAGTTATGCCTCATTCCCTGGATTTCCCACCTCTTGGCTGACTGCTCCTCCTGGGCCCACTGTGTTTGCCCTTCTGCCCTTGCCCATGCTCGCACTGGGTTTCCTGGCACACATGCCCTGTGCAGCCTCATCCATGCCTGGAACATATGCCCTGTTGCCTAAGCCAGAAATTTGGGCACCATGGTGGGCTCCTCCCTCATTTCCAGTGTTGGGCCTACCGCCAAGTCCTGTCTGTCTGACCTCCTGCATGTTTCTATGGTAACGTAACCGCTTCTTCCCCTCCTGAACGGCTTCCTAAAAGCTCTCCCAGCCTTCAGGTTTCCCCCTTTAATCCACTCTCATATTGCAGCCAAAGCATTCTAAAAAGCAAACGGCATCATGCCACTCCCTTGCTTAGGGTTGAATGGCTCTCTGTTGCCTAGGTGAGAGTTCAAGCCACAACGCACAGGTGCCTGAGGACTTGGCCCAGCCTTCCCCATCGCTCCCGCACCTCCACTCTGACACACACTCCTCTAAGCCAGCCTCGCTCTGCCTCTTGCCTCTCGGCTTCTGGGCTTTAAGTGTTGTCCCCTCTGCCTGAGCCACTGCTCCCACCGCTACCACCCTGTTTTAACGGGATTATTTAATCTCGATTCGTGCTGCTTCCTGCAGGATTCCACTACCTCCCCACCCCACCTGACTGGCACCTTCTCAGCTGCACCTAGGATTGGTGCTCCCTCTGTGTTCTCGTAACACCTGGTATAGGTTTTGTGGCTACCACTCGTGTAGGCACTATTGGATTGGCCAGCCAGGACCCTCTCATCCTCCCCAACAGGCTTCTTGTTTGCCTCTGCCTGCCCAGTGTCTGCTTTTCAGGCTAAATTCCTTGCTGATTTCAGCTTCTGGTGGCTGCCAGCATTTCTGGGCTTGCGGCTGTATCGCTCCAGTCTCTGCCTCTGTGTTGACGTGGCTTTCTTCTCTCTGTCAAATCTCCCTCTACTTCATTCTTTCTTTGTGCCTGGACTATAGGAGGAGCTCCACATTTTTATTGGTGTTATCCTTACACCGACGCACCCCAAACAGGATCTCTTGCACTCTACACACATGTTCATTTATGCAAAGTGGACATTGTGCAGCTACCTCGTTAGACCCTCTGTGGACAGCCCACAGCTGTGCATGCAGCAAGCTCACAGCTGAACTTCCCATCGACGTTCTCTCTGCCCTTGAGCCAGTTTTTTCCCTCCCTGACTGCATTTAGTCCTGTTTCATTGCAGATGCTGCTGTCTGCCTTGCTCTGCAAGCCAGAAACGTGATGGTTATTTCTCAATGTCTGCGTTCAGCTGTCACTAAATCCTAGCAGTCCACCTCTTAAATGCCGCTTAACCCTGCCCTCAGCCTTACGTCAGCTGTTTCTGGCCTGCAGCTTCTCTGTCCAATCTGTAGCCATCACAACCAAGTTCCTGCCTCAGTTTCACTTCCTTCCCAGCCTAGACCATTTTCAGTCAAATTCATCTTTCCGAATGTAAATCGGGTTAACCTGCTCTGTTGCTGAATGCCCAGCCACCCTCCCATGTGACTTGCAGATGTCTGCAGCCTCAGTGCTGGGCATGGCCTGTCCAGTGCTGCCAAGGTGGCTTTGCTTTTTGCTTGCCTCACCTTTACCAACCCCTCTGGCCAAACAGACTGGCACAGGCACTTCCTGGCATGGCCTTTTCCCATTCAGTCTGCAGGCAAATCCAATTCAAGTGTCAGACCGAGGCTGCCTCCCTCTGCACTTCAGTTACTCCACTATACCATCTACTTCATCTATTCCTGTCTGCCCAAAGGCCAGTTTCTCTACTAGTTTGTATGCCCCTTGGTGCAGAGACATTAACATGTCTGTTAATCTGTGTGTGCCCAGAGCCTTGGGCCTGTTGCTAGGGCTGTGTCTTGGACCATCTGTTCCCAATGGCTAGAGTTTTCTCTCAGAAACAGTTACAGTGTATCTGATTCTTCCGTGTTAATGCTATAACTCAGTTGGTTTGCATTTCTTACACTAAACAAACACTGCCCTTTCATAAGTTGGCGGAGGGAAGTCTCTATGGGGTTTAACATACCTGCTTCTGCATATTTGGAAGTGGGAAGTTTTAATCAGCTGTGATTCTCTTAACCATCATTTCACTCGAATGGGTACCTGGCTGTCCAGATTTGCCCAATCTGTGAGTGGAGTAGTTGTCTCTTTAAAAACATTAGTTTCCTGTGGCTGCTGTAACAACTTTCTACAAACTTGGTGGGTTAAAACAATAGAAACATATTCTTCTACAGCTCTGGAGGCCAGAAGTCTGAAATTTGCCTTATGGGACAAATCCAGGTGTGCGCAGGGCCACACTTTCACTGGAAGATACAGAGAAGGTGCCTTGCTTTCAGCCTCTGGTGGCTGCCAGCATTCCTGAGCTTGTGGTTGCATCACTCTGAGCTCTGCCTGTGTTCACATGACCTCTTTTCTGTCTGTGGGATCTCCCTCTACCTGTTTCTTTCTTTTGTTGTTTTTGTTTTAGACGCCTGGTGTTGCTCAGTTGCCTAGGCTGGAGTATAGTGGTACACTCGTAGCTCATGTAACCTTGAACTTCTGGGCTCAAGTGATCCTCCAGCCTCAGCCTCCCCAGTCGCTAGGCCTATAGGCGTGTGCCACCACACCTGGCCTTCTCTGCCTGTTTCATAAAAGGACACTTGGGAAGGCATGTAGGGCCTACCTGGAGAATCCAGAATGATCTCCCCACCTCAAGATCTTTTAATTTAATTAAATCTGCAAAGGCCCATTTTTCATCTAAGGTAACACTGCAGGTTTCAGAGATCAGGACTTGCTATCTTTAAGGGTCACTATTCAGCCTACTTCAGAGAAGAACAGTGTTCCTGTGCGCACGCAGCAACATGGAAAGGCCTTTGAAAGGTATGTGAAACAGAACGAGATAGAAGAGGTTGGGAAGTGGGGAAAGTGAGGAAGGTAGGAACACATTGGGTTGCTGTGTTCACCTTCTAGGTGAATGTCACTCCACGTGCTCAGAACTGGCATGCCTCTTCACGTGCTTGAAGTTGAGTGGGATTAAGTGTTGATCCCACTGGGTTATCACAATTGAGAAGCCCCATCTGTAAACATTATCAGATAGGAAAAGGGGTACTAAGCTTAAGGACCTCCCAGCCAGAAGCAGTAGTGCTGGCATCCTTTGCTCTAAAGGGCCTATTGCCTCTTCCTCTCTCTTCTCACCACCCCATCCTCGTTCTTAAAGAGCAAATGCCTGGAGGATATTCCTCTTTCAGCAAAAAAACACCACCAATAATACTTGGATCGCATTAGATCCACTCCAGTTTCTAGGAAACCCTTTTGTCTTAAGCAAGAGTGGGAGAAGACTCGTGTGTGTGTGTGTGTGTGTGTGTGTGTGTGTGTGTGTGTAATAACTGTAGTAATTCTAGTTATTTGACTAAAAACTGTATGAAATAAGAACATTCTTATGTGCTATTCCTTAAGTTGAGGTCATGAAAGGTAAGGAAGACCATTGCCTTCACATCTGCACCATGGGTGTCCCTTGGTAAAAAGACATGGATTCCGTAGCCCCAAAGCTGTGAGGTGGGGTGAAGAATGGCTGCTACTGTTGTTACAG